AGGTGTGACACTAAGCCCCACCAAAGAAATACTTCTAGCAGAAGACAGGCTACTACAGAAATCCACAATGGTCAAATGCAAACAAGTAACCATGGGTGCTCCCCCCAATTCAGCTATTTAAGCCTTCAGCTAAAGCCCAAGAAACACAGGGAGAGTTGGGGTGGGGCTTTTAGGAGCCTGAGGACAGGGAGGAGTGCTCCAAGGTAATTTCTTCTTGCATGACAGTGTGCTGCACCTCTGAACTCTCAACAATATGCCGCTTGCACACCAACAGTCCAGCAGACATGCAGACATGGATGGGTGGGAAGTCCTCAAAGTGACACACCCCAGCTCTCAAAGAAGGGCTCCAGGAGTCAGCGGCTGCCCAAGGAGGATGCTTTCTATAGGGAAAGGCCCCAGCTGGTCTCCCAGTCCTACGGGATCAGCCCTAAGCATGTGTAGACATGGGAAAACAAACAGGATTCAGCAGGGTGTGTGTGTGCATGAGTGAGTGTGTGCTTGCAACACAGGAGGAGCTGCGGAGCAGGGGGGGAGAAATGATTTAAACACAACGTCCTCATTTAATTAAAATTAAGGTTTTTAAATTTTAGATAAAGAATAAAACTTTGGGGGAAAAGACAAGCATGTATAGCCTATACATTTATACAGATATTTGTCTGCATATGTAAAATGTAGGTTTTATGGTTAATCACATACTATTTACTCAAAGAAAGTCACTATTACTGGCCACTATTATATTTCCTGAGCTACCTAAGCATAATAATGCCCAACATTTTTTAAAAACTATAATGTCTGGAAACGTTTTTCATATATGGTATTTTATTAAAAGCCATTGCAAATCTTTCCATATTGATTCTACACACAATTATCCAACACTTCACATTTATTTCAACTTCTCATTTTCAAACACAACAAAAGCAAGTGTCACGGCACGGCTAGCAAAGCCCACACACGCCCTAAGTACCATGCACACCTGTGTGATGTGCTGAATGTGTTCTAAAGATGGAGATCTTACTCAAAGCATAGCCATGTCCTTTCTTTTATTAGTGTTTATCAATTAGTCTGTGATACAGTGAGAAAAACAAACTCAAAGCTCCCAGAACCTGAATATAAGTTTTAATTAATCATTTTCAATTAAAACTCTAGGTTAATGACAATAAATCCAAATCTAGATTTCATTGGAGGACTCTACGTCCGGCTAAGTCCACAGGTCATCTCTATCTTACTTATTTTTAAGCACACAGGGAGCACAGTTGCCTAGAAATGTCTCATGAATTAACATGAACTGATTGGCCTGCTCTTTAACTACCTCCCCTTGAGGGGGAAACAGCATTACCAGGCCACAGAAGAAGACAATGCAGCCACTCCTGATGAGACCTAATTGACTAGGATCAGAAGGAAGGAAAAGAAGACCTCCCTATCAGTGGACTTGGGGAGGGGCATGCATGCAGAGGGAGGAGGAAGGGAGGGATTGGGATGGGAGGAGAGAGGGAACCACAGGAGGGATACAAAGTGAATAAAGTGTAATTAATAAAGAATAAAAAAATGAAAAAAATTCTAGATTAATACTTTTCAAATTTTAAAGAACTGAAAGTTTAAGTGAATATGTAAAGGAAATAATGCTCTATAAGAAATAAACAGCATTTAAAGACACACGGCTAGTGTGGACCTGAAGGAAGGTGGAGACGCCCTTGCTGGTGTATGGGCTTTGCTGTGACATACTCCAGCATTCAAGGAACATAAAGTAGAAGTCTCCAAGTGTAAAATACTTCACCTCTTTTAACCATTAACACACCGTGCATTGATAGTTTTCTTTTGTTAGTCAAGTATATGATTATAAGAAAAACTAGAGCATCATGGTCTCTCTAGGTCTTATGATAACCACGACTATCAGACTCGGCCTGGAGAGCTCAGCAGTTAAGAGCCTTGCCGTTTGTGTCCGACCTGGATCCAGTCCCCAGGATGCACAGGGTGGCTCACAGCCATCTGTAACTGCAGAGTCCGAGTATGAGACACCCTCCTCTGGGCCACGGACAACAAGCAGTTATGTAGTGCACAGATATGCATGCAGGCTAAACATTCACACGCATTAACAACACACAAAACACCTCAAACTCCAATATTAAAGTGAAGATAATCAAAACAGCAACTCGTAAAGTCATTTTTAGTACACATCTGTTATAAACAAATATTTTAGTGTAATGACTAGAAAAACTAAAATATACGCTTGAGGCTGAATGTTTTCATTTATCTGTTTAAAAATAAACAGGCAGTGACAGGGCACTCGCCATCCCTGTTGACCTATGTCCACTCATTGACCTCACTCTTCCCATGGGCCCAAAGAAAGTTTTCATAGCATGTAAAGGATAAGTTACCACAGAAACCAATTTCCAGAGGTAATTTCAAAACTGAAGTCTTTAAATACTTTTAAGAGTTCTTGAACTTTTAGGTGTCTTATCAAAAGGAGTAATAATATGTGTCTGATATTAAAATTACATTACAAAAAGTGTACTCATGTTTAAGAGAGACCACAGTGTCAAAGACTAAGATTCAATATGCTTTATGGTAAACCTGATGTCTGATTCTTCAAGTTATTCTCATCTTAAACACTCCTTATATTTGGAAAAGCCCATGACTTTTATGAAAACAATTACAAAACTTTGAAGAAAAATATCATCGCAGATAAATGAACACTCTGCCCATCACAGGTGACCTTGAATCTTAACAACAGTGAGTAACAGTCAGGCTCAGTGCTTCTGAGAGAGGCACCCCAGTGCAGACACTGAGAAGGGCCTCACAGCACTGCAGTGTCACTCAGGCTGAGCAAGGAGAGCCTGAGAAAGAACATTCACCGCTGCTCACAGTCTCTGAAAATACAGTATCATTATGAGCACATATAGTGAGTTCAAAAGTATTTGGAGATCAGAAAACAAAATTGGGGAAGTACCTTCTCATTATTAATTAAAAATATCTAGTCAACATGCACTGTTAGAATCTCTGGACCTTATGAAAACAAACCTAGAAATGACTTTTCAATGAAATAAAAATCAATATCAAAATTAGTCTACAGTAGTCAACTGAGATAACATCACGTTTACTGTGGACAGTAACATACAAATTGCTCCTACACATTTAATGTCTTTCATTTAAAAGTATTTAGGAAAATCAACATGTTTGAAGCAGGCATGCCCGGAAGAGCACCAGGTTCTCTCACCTGCAGATGTGTCTGCTCAGGCAGAGAGGAGCAAATCAAGTTCATGACAGAGAAGATTACCTCCTGAACATCAGAGGCGAAGGCTTCCCACTGAGAGAAAACTCATGCCCTGTCCTGTGCTAACCTAATAACACCCACTGTCGCTCCTCACTGCTCCTCTCTAATCCATTCCACGTCCAGCGATTATTTTAGAAGACTGTAACATGATCAAAATACAAGTTTATTTTACAACTTTTCAAGTGAAACAATAAAATAGAATTGCTACTCTGAGGTGACAGGCTCAAACACAGTCCACTCGTCATTTACAGAATGAACGTTAGATAAGTAACAAAATGTTTGTTTTTTTTTCAAACAGTGAATATGTTATATTTTCAAACAGTAAATAATGATTGTTTCTGAGCTTACTTAATGTAAACAGAGCTCTATAAATAAATTCAGTCTGCACTTAGATCAGACACAGAGCTATCTCTTTGGTGATGAGGAAACTCAGCAGACCCCCTCCTCCTGGCCAGATATGCAGAGGTGCGGCTGCAGAGCCGAGCTGTGCTTCCTGTGGTTAGGGAAACACTGTGAGCAGCTCTGCACTCACCAACAGCCCAGGGGACTGCTGGACACCATGCTTCCCATTCTGCTTTCTGTGCTCCACGGTCTGCCAGAACCAGAGGCTGCAAGGGTCCACACAGAATCCCACCGTGTCTGCGTTTCTTAAGCTCCTTCACCGAGATTCCTCTGCTATCATGGAACGTCATCAGCCAGATCCTCACTGACGCGGCATTGGCCATACATACGTCATCAGCCTGACCCTCACGAACACTGCACTGGCTGTACATACAGATGAACACAGGACTAAAGATGAACAGTAACTTGGAGAGGGGAGAATTTCAAATTTCCAAATACCTTAGAGTAGGCGCTGAGTTTCCAAATGCAGGAAACTTATAAATTCGTGTTCACTAACGTCACAGCTTTACGCACTCTACATTGGTTCAATTAGCTGAAATATTAGTTGTAGGTAGAATTCCACAGGCACATAAAAGTGCTGGGAAATGCACAGCAAATAATTTACTGGCGATGCTAAGATTAGGGTGATAATATTAATATAGCACAGTAGATCAGCAAATGAAAACTAAGAGTTTGAATAATAAATCTGGCTCTAGCTCACCAGTTGAATGTGTTTCTTGTTTCTTCCACTAACCCATATGTCAAAAGACAAGAAACTGATTTCTAATGTGCGTACATCACCAGATGACACCTTATGAAAGTGTAACCTTCCTTTAACCAACTGTAAAGAGCATCGTGAGTAAGTCTGACACAGAAGTGCTTCAACTGACCTGCTTCTTTACACGCAGCTGGGTGATCGGCAGATCAAGAAATGGCAAAAGCATGGCTCATCCTCCCCCACAGAAACACTACAGTAGACATCTTCCCTAAAGCAAAACTATAAATGCACTCAGAACTGTCTTAACTTCAACAAACACGTGTAAAACAGTGTTCTCACACCATAACTAATGGAGTAAATGTAATACTTATTACTGGAAAGAACTAATATCTGTATTCATTATGAATTTTAATACTGCAACTAACCAGTATGTGCACAGAAACCAATATATGCATAAGAAACTGCTTGAAATTACTGTGGTTGTAAACTCTGAAATTTTAAAAACCAAAAACTGCTCAATACTAATGTGTAAACTTGATTTGCTAAGCAGCACTAAGAAGGAGAACGTGTATGCTAACAGAGATCCATGTGTGCACAGACCCTCACAGAGAGATCAGACCTCCCGCTCACCTCTCTCCGGCGGGAAGCCCAGCAAGTCTGTTTGATCTTCCAGACCACAGCAGCCACGAGCAGTAAGGATAGAAAACAACTGGAAAATAAAGCACAGATAATTGTACTCAAAAGTCACTTCAGATATGCAGTAAACTAATTTAAAGGAAATTCAAATATGAAGAAGAATTTGTCATGATAAATATTTTGAAAAAAAATCTTCATAATTGACTCATTTCTTTCTTTCTTTGTGAATTGTCTCTCTCTCTCTCTTTCTGGTTTGTATACCAATAAAATAGCCCAGGATAATAATGATTAATATCTATATAACACACACATTTTAGAGGGCACTTTCTACAAACTCTTCCAACTGAACTTTACCTGTAATCTAACTAAATGTTCTTTATTCTATCAACAGACTCATTTCTCAGTTAATAGTGGAACCATTCATTCTTTAAAATCTCCTGAGCAATTTTGTTTTCTTTCACCCTTTCTGATGTATCAAAGATCAGCAAACACAGACCTGCACTCCAGATCCTTCTTTAAATTATGGACACCTTGTGAAATTCAGTTTAAAGGTCTTCCAAGGTGGTGTTACAGGGAAAGCTGTTTGCTGTCAGCCCTGATGACAGAGATTTATCTTTGGAACCCTCATGATGGGAGAGGGAACCAACTCTTGAGCGGTATCTCCCTGCTGTCCCTGTGTGACTGTGGCATGCAGGAACCCTCTTTCACAGAATAAAAATAAATAAGTGAATAGTTTTAAAAGCTAAAAATATCAGTTTTAAGAAAGCACTTCTCATAAAAATATGAATTTTAAAAATGCACTTCTCTTTTTCTGAAAAAGAGTTTGGGTCTAGCTCGGTCGGCAAACATTTTCCTAGTTAGTTAAGAGCCAGCACTTAACCAGAGAACTGGCAGAACAGAGGAGCTGTGGGGGAGACACAGAGAAGATTAATTTTGTAAATCAGTATCTTTAGTGCTGCTAAAATTATAGCATCTTATCATTAAAAAGGAGTTAAAAGATTATTTAGTTCAAATCCTTCCTAGAAAAGAAATCCCTGGGAAACCCTGATAGTGACAAAGTATGTGATTTACCTAATAAAGCAGTCATCTGAGAAACTGCTAACTCCAAATCAACGCCCAAGTGATGAAAAATTATCCTCATTTTGACCATTAATACCAGTTCTGTGCTGAGTAAAGCCAAGTCGGTGTGCTACATCCCGAAACTTCTCCTGTATCTGAAAAGGCCAGACTGATGACCTGGCTCAGCAGCTCCTGGTCAGGAGTATTTTACACTTAAGGAGACATTGTAAGTGTCTAGGGGCATTTTTATTGTCACCATTTGACTGGCATTGTGTGATGTTGCATGACCACTTAAAATATATGAGACAGACATGTTCTCACACTCACACACACACACACGTGTACCCACGCACCCACACACAGAGATTTTATACGCACACACCACCAACACTGTGTAAGTTGAGAAGATCTGTCTGGAACTTACTACTCTCCATGGAAACTGCACTTTTCATGTGACTCATAGGTTGGTAGTATTAAGTGTTAAAACTGTGATGAAAACGGGTACTTTAGAGCCTCAAGGTCCATTTCAATTTCAGTAACATCATTATATCCTTAAAACTTTTAGCACAAAAGACATAAGCTTAGCATTCCAAAGTGAGCTCACTGACAACACTCAAAATGAAAATGACTACCGTCAGTGAGTAGTATGTACCAGGTACAGTGAGGGGTCCCCTTCCTCCCCAAGGACTCTGACATGCCCTGTGCAAGGGCCTGCACTTGTCTAACGAGGGGCCAGTGAGCTGGGACAAGTGCTAGCCGAGTGCTAACATGAAAAGTTTTCTCCTCTGACATTTCTGTTGCAGCTGAGTGTAAAACAAGGCAATCTTACCATTTTTGCTACTTGATCTCACTTATTCTTGTCATTTTTGTCCTTAAGAACAATTACAGTAGTAGAGGACAGCTTATATACAAAGAACCCCTTATGTTAAATGTAATTTGAATACTTGAGTATTTCGGGATATTTGATTACATTGTGAACCCCAAGATTGTATTTTCTGGAAAAACCTGTTTCTAGTTGTGGTGTGGCTCAGCCCTAGCACACACTTTTAATTCAAGAGCTTTCTGCTTGAACAGGATTAAATGAAGTCAATCATAGGTCAAGAGACAAAGCAAGCAACCAGTTGACAGGGAGTGAGCACGGGAAAAAAAAAAACATAGTAATTCGGGAGGATGGAAAGAAGGACACCCAGGAAGTGGAAGGGATGGATATTCAGCGGGAGGGTTTTTTGAGAAGGCATGGGAAAGGAGATTTTCTTTTCCTTCTGGATGTCAGCTAAGGAGGAAGGGCAACTGGGTGCTCTCTCTACCTCTCCCAGCTAACAGGCTTTCACTCCAGGCCTCTTCTGCTGCCAGGTTCTGTGCAAATAGTAGACAACTTTGGATTGATTGCTGCTGTCTATCTAGCCAGGATTGCCACTAAGCTGACCCAAAAAATCAACTTCAGAATATAAACTTCTCAGAACATTCAAATTGGTGAGTTCATAGGAGATGGACATGAACACTTTACAGAACTTTGAACTATAAAAAAAAAAAAAAATTCTAGCTGGGACTCCTCATAGCAAGGGTCATGGAGGCTGAAGAGGATGCCCTCTAACTGGACACAACTCCTAGTGGAGGGAGGGGAACACCAACCCACCCACAAAAACTTCCACCCAAAATTTACCCTGCCCGCAAGATGTGCAGGACAAAAATAGAGCAGAGGTTGAGGGAATGTCCAATCAGTAACTGGACCAACCAGAGACTTACCCCCATGGGAGAGAGCCAGCTCCTGACACTACGAACTACTCTGCTATCACACAGGAGCCTAGCATAGCTGTCCTCTGAGTGGATCCACCCAGCACCTGATGGGAAACAGATGCAGAGACCCACAACCAAACACTGGATGGAGCACAGGGAGTCTTGTGGAAGAGTGGCCAGTGGTGGGGTTGGACAGAAGGACCCAGAAGGGACAGGAGCTCCACAAGAAGAGCAGCAGAGCCAACTAACCAGGGCGCAGGGGACCTGTGGAAGCTGAAGCACCAGCCAAGGATCATGCCTGGACTGGACCTAGGCCCCCTACACAGATGTAGCCGATGGGCAGCTCGGTCCTAATATAAGGGGAATAAGGGTTGACCCTGACATGGCTCTGTTGCCTGCTTTTTGACCACTTTCCCCTGGAGGGGCTACCTTGCCATGCCGCAGGGGAAGAGGATGCGCTCAGTTCTGATGCAACTTGATATGCTGGGGATGGGGGACTCCCCTTCTCTGAGGAGTAGGGTAGGGGATGGGGAAAACAGGGAGGAAGGGCACAACAGAAAGGAAGGGGAGGGCTACAACCAGGATGTAAAATGAGTAAATAAAACTTAAAATAAAAAACTCATCCTAAGACTTCCAAATACAACAAAGCTGGATAATGTAGAAAGCTTGGCAGAAATAGTTTCATTGTTGTAAAGTTTTACTGTGCTATAGTTAATATCTTTTCTTTTTATTTAGACAAAAGGGAAATGTTACAGGATCTTTGATCTCACTGTGAACTGGGAGATAGCGGTGTTTACTAGAAAAACCTGTTTCTAGTTGTGGTGTGACTCAGCCCTAGCACACATCTTTAATGCAATACCTTTATGTATGAGTACTGTAAACAGGATTAAATAAAGTCAACCACATGTCAAGAGGCAGAGCAAAAAACTAGTTGGCAGGAAGTGAATATATGAAAAAAAAAAACAGAGAGCAAGAGGAAGTCAAGAGGATGGATAGAGAGACACACAGGAAGTGGAAAGGAGGGACATTCAATTTGAGGGTTTCTTTGAAACTACAGGAGAAAGGGTCTTTTGTAACATTGGCTGAGGAGGGTCAGCTGGGTGCTTTCTCTGCCTCTAAGAGCCATCAGGCTGTCAGCCCAGCCTCTGGCTCCCACCCTGAGTTTTATTGGTAAAATTGAAAGAGATTTTGTTAAAAACGACACAAATAATGGATTTCATTTCTTGTTCTGTAATTACAATATTTATGACACAACAGTTATGTGATTACAGTTACTGGAGAGGGAAAAGATGTTGGATTTCTCCTGGAAGATTTAAATTCCTTTTGACATAAATTCCTTGACTGAGGTAAGAAGAATCACTTTTACAGTAATTAAGGACAACATAAATTATGAAGCCTTTGTAACTCTATTCTCTTGAGAGGAAGAGTACAAAATTAGAGGCTTGATCTAATGCCCTGATTAGAATTAGATAGCCGTGCCGTTAAGAGAGGCTGAGTTACATTTAGCCTTTGGTGTCTTCATCTGGAACCCAAAGAAATGACAGAATTTACAGTTCCTAAATTCTCTGGGAAGCATCATGGGGCAGTGTCCTGCATGCTGATTTCTATCCATTCTATTCTGCATGAAGAGAAGTGAACTTTGATTACATCAATTCACTAAACTATATGTTTGTCTATCTCTTTAAATTAGCTTTTCCTCAACGTTAAACCAAAGATCTTAATGGGGACCATCAAATGTCTGTGTCCTGCAATTTACTTTCATTTCTATTTTTCCACAGGACAAGAATCTGTTTTGGCTACTTTCTTTGAGAATTCTTTCTCCACTATTCTATAAAATGGTTCCTGTGAGTGTCTGGAATGGATTCTGAGGAGAACAGTTGTGTGGGCTTTCCAGAAAAGAGATAAGAAAGAAGACGGAAAGGCAGGAAATAGAGAGGGGAAGGAGAAGAGAGAAAAACTATGTACTGTGCTCTGATAACCAGAGTTCTAAAGGTTCAACACATCAATGCAACGGACATAGTGACAGAGTTTTTAAAGTATGCAAAATAGAGATAAGACAAAAAACTTAGAAACTTACAGAGAGATACTGCACTAATTTTATCATAGCCGTTATAAAGTGATCACTTTCTATAGAATCCCTAATACCAAAACCAGCAGCATCTATCATCTAGGCCAGGTTCTCAGCCTTCCTAAAGCTCGACACTCTACTTGCTGCAGTGACCCCACAACCATGCAATCATTGCCTTTGCTTCCTCGTGACTGTGATTCTCCTGTTGA